ACGAAGGAGCCCGAGAAACTATTCCTTTCTATCACTTCCTCATATTATTTTATTTTTCATTCTTTTTCCGCCCTTCAAAATCGGTTGGCTTTCCTTAATCTAAAACAAAATCGATACGGCTTCTTTTGCGTTTGTTTTTCTAATCGAACAATCATAGACAAAAATGGAAAACAAATTCGAGAAGGCTCCTTTGTATTTTTTTTTTTTTTTCGTTTTTGTTTGATCACTATTTGGTGAACAATGACAGGCAAGGTCAAAAAAATCTAGAAACATGGGGAGAAAAATACCATAATTTTTATAAAATCCTAAAATTAATACTTACGAAAAGAAAAAAGAAAAATTAAGTCACATCAATCAGTTTAGGATGTTTTAATCTTCTTCCAATTACAAGTTATAAATTTTTTTTTTTTTTTTGTAAGAAATGAAAGTAGAGATTATATTTTTTATTAAGAACCTGAAATAAACTTTACTTAAAAATAAAATTTCAAAATGCCTAATTGAAAAAGAACTACAAAGAGAGAAAAACTGACATTGTAAAAAGGGGAAACTACGGCCAGCTGAATTAATGTATGGGTATATTCTCAAAATGCCGGCCGCACGGTTAACATCGCGGAAGATTTCATTTTTGGCCATCAATTGTTGTGGTCACGACTCACGAGTCCTGTCACTGTTGGCAGAAATTTCTCGAAAGTTTTGACAAGTAAAGTGGGCAAAGTCTCATCATTCATCTCGATCGATTTTTGTGGTAGAAAATTTATTTTGTTGTACCAAAGAAACAACTAATTTTGCCTCCCACCCCCAAAAAAATATCATGTCATGTTTTTTCTTTTTACTTTTTGAGCTGGTCAAAATTGTGAAGTAGATGATGGATCAAGGCAGCAGTATGAACGACAGATTGTGTCACCGTTTGAGTCTCAGGTAAGCTCAGAATTTAAGGGAGGTGAATGAATTCAGTTATGACTTGTAAAAGGTGAATTCAACAAAGTTTCAAAAAGAAAATTGATGGATATGAAATTTTTGAGGAAGAGATCAGGTATTTGTAACGAGAAAACGATTCTCTTAACATGTATATATAGTGGATTCTATCACCGTTTTTCAACCATATAATTTCTACAATGATGTGAGGTAACGTGACTCTTCGTATGAGTCTTGTTTTCGTGGTAAGTGTGGGGATAATCACGGCTTTTTGACCACTATAGCTTTTTTTAATAATTAATTACCAAATTGACCCTATTTATAAACTATTTCAAAAATTTAACCTCTCCAGAAAACATAACATCAATCTGCCCCTGTTGACCGTTGACCATGAAGCCTACCCGGGTACACCCCTACCTACCCGGGTAAATTTTAAAAATTTTTACCTACCCGGGTACACCCCTCCCTACCCGGGTATATTTCTTGAATCTGGAAAATGTTTGAATTATTTACCCGGGTAGAGAGGGGTGTACCCGGGTAAATAATCATAACTCAAGCTTTTCTCTTCTTGCTTTTCTTCTTTGTTTCTGGTTTCTTTTTCAAACCTTGCAGAGTCATTTTAAGAATGGCCAATTTCTGAGCATCTGAGACAACCCTCTGCAACATCTTCCTCTTGCCATCTTCAGTGGTCTCTTTTACAGTTTTCCACAACTCAAGCTTGTCAACGCCCAATTCCTTCACCTCTAATTCTGAACATTTTTTTGAATTGTCTGACTGGTGACATGTAATAGCATCCTTTGTTGGAGCAGAACCTTGATTATTTGCTTCACTAATCTCAGGCATATGATCCAGTGGAATATCTTTTATCAATAACTTGTTTTCAGATTTTGTTCTCCATGCGTTAGTCCTTCAATTTAGAGATTTTCATTTGCTGTTCACACAAAGAGGATGGGCGCACACAACCAGTTTATGATTATTTACCCGGGTACACCCCTCCCTACCCGGGTAAATAATTCAAACATTTTCCAGATTCAAGAAATATACCCGGGTAGGGAGGGGTGTACCCGGGTAGGTAAAAAATTTTAAAATTTACCCGGGTAGGTAGGGGTGTACCCGGGTAGGCTTCATGGTCAACGGTCAAACAGGGGCAGATTGGTGTTATGTTTTCTGGAGAGGTTAAATTTTTGAAATAGTTTATAAATAGGGTCAATTTGGTAATTAATTATTAAAAAAAGGCTATAGTGGTCAAAAACCCGGATAATCACATATAAATGGGATCATCTATCTTTTAGTGCACAAATATTCTAATCTTGTGTGGCAGTTGAATAAGATGACAGGTCAAGATCATCCTACCAGTACACAACACTTTTACTATAATTTGATTTTTTCATAAACGATTTCAGAAAAAATATATGGAATATATTAAAAGTTTACCCTTATTATTAATGCCGCGCGCGCGCCCGCCTATATATATATATATATATATAGAGAGGGCCACAAGGTCAAATTAAAAAGTTTGACATCAAATTTTAACTATTAATTTTATGAATATATATATATATATATATATACTTATTTATTTATTTATTTATTTTGGTAGTTGATATAGTTTTGGTTTTTAAGTAAAAAGTAAAAACTAGTTAGCTTGTAAGAAAACTTAAGCACCCGAAATATGTGAAATGTTTTTAGCAATGAGTAATAGGGTTTAATTTCCCTCATGTTATATGAGATAAAATTATCTCCCACATACACATAAAAATATGTGGGGTCCATATTTTTTCTCTCTCTTTTCTTCTCACGCACACTTTTATATGTATATATGAGATAAAATTATCTCCTATAACATGAGAAATATTAAACCCTAAGTGTATACATAATATGAGGAGGGTTATATTTACAAACTTTTTATTTACAAACTCTTAAACTACACACACTATGTACTCTCAGAAGTACACTAGGTTACATTATGTATTTCTGGGAGTACATAGTGTAATTTGCAAAAATATGTAAAAAAAATTGTAAACAGATCCTTCCCCCATAATAAGGGAAAAATATTTCTTCTGTCACATGAGATAAAGTTATCTCCTGCAACCTCAAAACTACGTCGTTTTTGAGATTGAGAGAATTAATGAAGAATATTTTAGGAATTTTGTTTGTTTCTTTGTTATATGAATTTTATCAAAACATCCCATTTATTAATTCCCTCAACCCGCCAAACAACGTAGGATTGGGACTATTGGAGAAAAATTTATCTCCTATGGTAGGAAAAACAATAAACCTTATATATATATATATATATATATATATATATATAGGATTTGATTTTCTCATGTTAAATGAGAATTCAATTCACATGTTGTAGAGATAAAAAGTATGTGGGACCCAGATGTTAGAAAAAATTATATGTAGGACCCATGTCAGCACGGAAATCGAAGGGTGTGTAGGAAAATTTGAATTCTCATGTTAAATGAGAATTATAAAACCCATATATATATATATATATATATATGTATTTCGGGTTATCGTTTCTCAGTTGCTAAATGTCTAGCTAGGAATCATAACCATACATGGGTGGGTAAAAGCATTAAATATGGGAAAGAAATGAGAATCAACGATCAGGATTACTAACTGGACAACCAGCAACTTGAGAAATAATTTCACCTATATATATATATATATATATATATATATATGGGTTTAACATTTCTACTTTTACTGTAGAAAATATTTCTCTAACATTTTTCACACACACACACACACATATATATATATATAAGGTTCGATTTTTCTACAGCCACTCTACGTTCAATAGTGAAATTTTTTCGATATATAAATTAAAGCATTTAATGTGGGGAATCATAACAATACAAAAATGTGGAAGCATTAAATGTGAGAAATCATAACCATACATCTGTCATTACTGCACGTACAACAACTTTAGATATGATTTTACCACACACACATATATATATATATGTATATAAGGTTCGCTTTTTCTACGGTCAATGTAGATAACTTATCTACATTGAGCCCAAAACGACGTCGTTTTGAGGCGAAAATCACGGTATTTTTGTAATTATGATTTATTTTAGGGTTATAAAAATCTTTTTTATTATAATTTTTTAATTTTTCATCCCAAAACGACTTCATTCTGGGATCAAATGTAGATAACTTATCTACATTAACCATAGAAAGATTAAAGCCATATATATATAATTTATTTTTATAATATGATGGATTTAATTTTTAAATTTATAAAATTATATCAAAATATTCATAGACCAATTTGTATACAACTTTTGTATATAAGGTTTATGTAACAACTTAATGCTAAGAAAAACTAAAGTTATTTACAAAAAAGAAAAGAAAAACTAAAGTCTATCTCAGGGAACTTTCAGTTTTTGTGCCCTTTTATCACTTGTTATTTCTATTTGGCTATATTTTCTTTAGTATATATTAAAATAAAACTATGTAGTGGCATGGTAATTTTTAATTATTATTCTATTAATACTCCTTTTTTCCACGCTATTTTTATACTATTAAATAACGTACTTATAATCAACTAAAATATTTTTTTTTTGTGGACTAAAAATATATATGCATTCCTTACATAATATATATTATTCATTAATTATTTATACATAATTAATGGTATAAAAATGATAAGAGAAAAATATGGACGACTATCTTTTCAATTTTTCATAAAAATCGTTGAGGGGGATGTGCTAGGTTTGTCGCCGCTTATTTGTTGTCTGCAGACTACTACTGTAAACCTATCATTTGGGTTTTGTAGCACAAAAATTGTAAATCAATTATATTCACGAAAAGATTTGCCTTATCTTGATATAATTTTTTGTGGTTTTTTACCAAAAAGAAATAATAATAATAAAAATAATGATAATAAATTTGTGGTCGTCGTATACTAATCTTGTCGCATGTGCTAGAAATTTGACAAGCAAGCAGGGTATGATCATTCATGTAAGCCTATGGTGATTGATTTATTGATCCACCACAACAATTTATTATTTTTTCGTTTATTATTGTCCCATATGCTACCTCGGATCCTCGTTCCAATATAAACGGAGTACATGCATTGCAATTTCAGAAAGGAGAACAAGTGTATTTGGAGATCATATATCATCGTAAGATCATGGCAAGTGACCTTTTATGCTTGTCTTGCCAATTCTCGTCTACCACAGTACCAACACTAAATACTAGACTCCCACTCCCACTCCCACAAAGTAGGAACTGCACGCAAATAACATCTCTTGCAAATCCCAAACCTTTGCGGTTCATTTGTGCAGTGAGCTCATCACAGGATACCCAAATAACAGAAAATAATAGACGTTCAGCCAATTACCAGCCAAACCTCTGGAATTTAGAATTTCTCAAGTCCCTGGAGACTGGCCTCGAGGTGATTCTATTAATTAATTAATTAATATTCAAGTTCATTTTTACTTTTAATATCTTCCAAGATTAAATATTAAGTTGTTCTTATAATTAATCCGAGGACAGGTGGAAGCACTGCAAGAGAGTACAACAAAGCTGGAGGAGGAGGTGCGGCGCATGATAAACAGTGTACCCATGGAGACACTAAACTTACTCGAACTCATTGACAATGTTCAGCGCCTGGGATTGACCTACAAGTTTGAGAATGACATAAACAAAGCCCTCGAGAGCATTGTTTCAAGGGATGAGAGAGAGAAAAGTGGCCTGCATGCTACTGCTCTCCGCTTCCGCTTTCTTAGACAACATGGCTTTGAGGTCTCCCAAGGTAATATATGTTATGAGTTTATAACCACGTACCTAAATTACTTTGCTCACCAAGTCATAAATATCGGAAAAGTATTTGTCCTAAAATTATGTTATTTTAAATAAAATAATAATGTTTTTTTAATATTTAAATTAAAAAAAAATTCAATAACTTCTTACTCTTTCCTACCTTATCTTCAATTGTGTAACTGTTTTCTCATCCTAAAATGAAAATAGATCATCTCATGTTTTTAAAAAACATGATATGATTGTGTGGGACAATCATAATCATATAAAGATGAACCAATGATTATGATTTAGTAACTACCTATTTTAATATTTTTCCCGTCTTCTCTTTTATAACTAGTTATCCTGATTTTGACTATTCACATGATCATATCATATATTTTTTAACATGAGAGGGTCTACTCTCCTAAAATAGAGTAATTTTAATCAAAATGACATAATCTTATATTCATTAAAAAGAACAAATATTTTTTTATACATATATATTATGGTTTTGTGATTAAATGAACACATGGCAACAAATGTGCGCAGATGTGTTTGAGAGTTTTAGGGACAAGGAGGGAAGCTTTAGGGATGAAATTAAAGGTGATGCGCAGGGGTTGCTGAGTCTATATGAAGCGTCATACTTTGCCTTTGAGGGAGAAAATATCTTGGATGAGGCAAGGGCATTCTCAATGACACATCTAAAGAACTTAAAAGAAGGAATACCCACGAAACTGGCAGAAAAAATCAGTCATGCACTGGAACTTCCCTACCATCGAAGATTGCACAGACTAGAAGCACGATGGTTCATCGAAAAATTTGAAGTAAAGGAACCCCACGATGGTTTAGTACTCGAGCTCGCAAAGTTGGATTTCAACAGGGTGCAATCATTTTTGAAGAAAGAACTGCAAGAACTGTCAAGGTCAAAGAAATAAATAATACAAGTTTCAATTCAAGTCTTAATTAAATGATATAAAATTAAATAACTATGCATGATAAGGTACACTTGGGGATTTCCAATTAATTGTTGGCATATATATATATACATAGGTGGTGGAGGGAAATTGGGCTGACAAGCAAGCTGGACTTTGTTAGAGACAGATTAGTGGAGGTGTACTTTTGGGCTCTGGGAATGGCCCCCGATCCTGAATTGGCTGAATGCCGGAAAGCCGTGACTAAAATGTTTGGACTGGTCACCATCATCGATGATGTATATGATGTGTACGGTACCTTGGACGAGCTACAACTCTTCACGGATGCCGTTGAGAGGTTTGTTATTTAATTGACTTGAATTAATTTCAGCATATATAGACGTAGTCGAATTCATTAATTAATTATATAAATATTGAAATTGAAATTGAAATGAATACAGATGGGACGTGAATGCGGTAGATACACTTCCGGACTACATGAAGTTGTGCTACTTAGCCCTCTATAATACTGTTAATGAAACGGCTTATAACATCCTTAAAGAAAAAGGAGATCACAGCCTTCCCTATCTAGCCAAATCTGTATGTATACTTGTATAACTACCACCACCACTAATTGATTAACTATGTAATTATATATATATATATATATATATATATATATATATATATATATATATATATATATATATATGAGGGAATGAAATTAATTATATAATTAACCTGATGATGATTGATGATTCTTCACGACAGTGGCGTGACTTGTGCAAAGCATTCCTGCAAGAAGCAAAATGGTCCAACAACAAAATAATTCCGGCATTCGACAAGTACCTAGAAAATGCATCGGTTTCATCGTCCGGAGTGGCTTTACTTGCTCCTTCGCTGTTCTCAGTTAGCCCAAACATAACGAAGGAAGCTATTGATTCCTTAACTAATTTCCATGGGCTGGTGCGGTCGTCATGCGCCATTTTCAGACTCTGCAATGATCTGGCCACCTCGGCGGCTGAACTAGAGAGGGGCGAAACCACAAATTCAATAACGTCCTACATGCATGAGAATGGGACCAGTGAGGAAGGAGCACGGCAGGAATTGAGAAAGCTGATTGACGGAGAGTGGAAGAAGATGAACAGAGAGCGAGTCATGGATCGTACATTCCCAAAAGCATTTATAGAGACAGCTATTAACATGGCCAGGGTTTCCCATTGCATCTACCAATATGGAGATGGACTCGGAAGGCCCGACAACACAGAAGAGAGCAGAATCACCTTGTTGCTCATTGACCCCATTCCAATTAATTAATTAGTTCCTTAATGTAACAGTACAGTACAATACTAGTATTTGTATTCGTATCGTTTGTGTTTTTGTACACCTCTTGGTTAACCCTGTACATGGTTCATCGTCCAATCATTTTAATAACCCACTTGGTTGGGTAATTAAGTATAAAATAATAATAATAATAATTGTTTAGATATATAGTTCCACATTGATTGTATGAGCAACTAATGTGGAGTTTATAAGGTCTTGGACCCTCCCACCCTTTGAGCTAGCTTTTGGGGTGGTGTATCCCAAGGTTCTTTATAGGCTCTCGTGTGAGGGAGCGTGTGTTGAGATATATAGTCCCACGTTGATTGTATGTGTAACTAATGTGACCTTTATAAGGTCTTGGGCACTCCCACCCTCGCCGTCCCCCACTTTCTCAGCACTGAGGTGGTGTATGTCAAGGTTCTTTACAATAATAATAATAATAATCACGTGACATGGTGATTTGGCTTGATTAGATTTTTTCTTATTCGTTATATTAAGAATTGTGGCAATTTATAACAGTCATAAGTAAAATAAAATATATATACAAATAAAAAAATACAAAAAATCACAATTTTTATTAACCGAATCGGAACGGGGTTCCCATAATACATGTTAAATTGCGGGTTGAAGGCCCACCCAGGCTGGCCCAACCCGGGTTTTGAATTTGTTAAAGGCGACTGTGAGCAATGAGCATAGGAGGAGGAAGCTGAAGGAGGCAGAACGCAGAACGCAGAAGAAGAAGAATGGGGATTGAGAAGGGAAAGCGAAAGCGAAAGGGAAAGGGAAATGATGAAGATGATGTTAGAAAGAAAAGGAAGGCATGCAATGAAAAGAAGGGAGGTTTGGAGCAGTTGCGTTTCTTTGTGGAACAATTCGAGTCGGCGAAGGGTGTTCAGCTTTCTTCTCTCGAGTTGGAATCCCTCAAAGGTTAGGGCTCCTCTCCGCTGCCGTTGACATTTAATTAAACCCTATCAATGCGTAGTAGTATATTTGGGAATTTAAAATTACTATATTAAATTGATGCAGCGGATAAATGTATTCTGGAGGTATCGGAAGAGGCAAATTTGGATGTGAAAATGTTGGGGAGAGATATTAAAGGTGCTTTTGGGGCATCATGGAAAGAGGTGCTTTGTGAAGGGAAGCTCGTACAAGGCAAAATTGATGCTGGGAGCCCATCAGTTCTTATTCTAACTTCCTCTGCCTTAAGATCCATACATCTTTTAAGGTATTTCATCACGACATCAAACCCATACAAATTTAATTTCACTTTTCTTATTATCCATCCTTTTATCGAAATTTACAGTTTTGAGCGAAACAAAATGCCTGTCTGTCACTAGTTGCAAAATTTTTCTTTCCTAGTAATCAATTATCCTTGTGTAGGGGCTTTCGGTCTTTCACAAAAGAATGTCATGCTGCCAAGTTATTCTCAAAGCATATGAAAATTGAAGAACAGGTTACCTCTCTGCCCAACTTTATCAGTATATCATTCTTAATATTTTAGGTGTGTCCATTGTCATTCAACATGCATAGATTCACTCATGTGCTAGAAACACTGATCAAAGTTGAATGAACCCACCCACCCACGCACGGACAAAGGAGGGATCATTGACATCGCTGTAATGTAACACTTGACCTACTTACATACTCTAATTAACCTTTTCTAGAATAAATTTTTATCCCTCCAACCATTGACTACTGCTAATTATTATGTTGGTCTTACATTTCAGATTATGAAACAAATTGGACAACAATAAAGTATATAACGAACTAATTCATATTTATTATATTTGAACAATATATTTTGCATTAACCTTATGATATACACAGAATATGTGACAAATTCAAGGTAATGTGAAATGACGTAGATGTGATGATTGTGATCTAGTTGAAGCAATTTTGAAATTGTTTAGCTTTATTTGGGTTCGTCGATTGTAACACCCCAATTCGAAAATTGGCACACTACACTTAATCGAAGCACAGAATGGATAAAATGCAGTCATTTACCACCACAAGGCGAAAGGTTACCAGATTACACAAAATTCGAGGCTGTCCAACATCCAAAACCTCAAATACATTGTGTTCTCAAGTCATTAATACACGTACAGAATCTTTGCAAGATCCTTCAATACAAGACAACTATTGGTTACTAATTAAAAATTAATGGTGCTGTCCAAAATATCAACACCTAACATCCAAGCAAAACAGCATCTAGATAAGTGTAATCAAGCCTTTCTGGGTCTGCTATCTTGATCTTTTCCACCTGAAATAACCCCATGAAATGGGTGAGATGTGAATCTCAATAAGTACCTAAGGAGACCGCTCCCTATTCTGGCTAAGAAAAACCCAACCAAGCACCAAAGTGGTACTTGGAATTTCAGACACATACACCTGCAAAAAGTTAGTCTACAAATATTTTTCACAGTAATTTTAATCTCAGCGATATACCTGCTCATCTTCTACTAACAATATAGAAAACTTGATGATAAAACAACTGTATGGCCCTTAAAAGATAAGTTACTGTATGTGCACTTCTTTGCACTAGTTGACCTGTATGTAATTTGAACTCAAATATAGTGAGGCATCCCTCACGGATGTCAACTAATCTACTACTATATCATAGAATACATCAATGATAAAATAAAGTAAATGTATCAATCAATCCTTTCTATAGAGCACAAGTGTATAATCTGTTGTATTTTGCAGCTATAAACATACTGACAGTAATAGAATTGAATTACAATCCACATTGCATAGCTTAAATGAGGAATCTGGGTTTCTGGAGGGGAGTAATCGGATACTTTTCGGGAAGTATCAGATTACTTCTCCATCAAGCAATCTTGGTGGTGCTCGATTACCACCAGGAAGTAATTATTACTTTTTCATCAAGTAATCGATTACCCATCGAGGAGTATCCAATTACTTGAAGACAGAACCCAGATTTTCATCCAAAATTTTTCATATCTAATAGTGGTTCTAACTCATCCATGCATGTCTCTTGTGTACCCAAAAAATGATTTTACAGTATATAATATAATAAGAGATTTAGTCAATTGATTCCTAGAACCATCTACCACATGCAGTAAGGGTTTGTCCAGATTTTTTCACCACAATCCACTATAATATAATACAATCCACACAATTTGTATTTTACACATGATGCATGGCAACAGAGACAGAGTTTTTCTCCTGCACAGAAGAAGAGTCTCCTTGGGTACTTACTTGTTGGAGTTCTTCACTAAGATGTACACACACACACAGGGTCAGCTCTTCCTTCTTTCGAAAAGAAGATGGATGATTAGGAGGGAAATGGTTTGGTGGTTGTGAAAACTGAAAAGTAAGATGTAAGTGAGTGTTTCTGAAGGTTAGGAGGAAGAGTAGTCTGTAGGTGTAAAAACTTCTATGTGAGAAATGAGAAAGGTGCAAAAAAATAATTAAGGAGGAATAATGGTGAAGAACAGTGTAGGAGGGGTTGGGGTGAAGGTGAAATATCTCACCTGCTCTGCAACGTGAAGTAACAAAAGTAAGAGGGAGACTCTTTTCTGATTATTTGACAGATGCAGTCTCTTTTTTCTTTTTTTGTGAGTGGATATTACATCGATCGCCGACCCCATCCGGTTTGGATTTAAAGTGATATTGATGTTGAAATATTCTGTGCAAGATAACATGATTAAAAGGTTTCAATCCAATGGTGGATTTGGTAAGAAAGTCATTCAATGATTTTTATTGCAGACAGTGCATGCTATAGCAGCACTACATGTCACATGAAACTCAAAAAACTACAGATGTAGTATAGCGCGAAGTGATGTAGTGAACTAATGATTTAATAACCACTTTCCTTAAAGCTTGAGTTGAACATCTCAACTTGATAGAACAGTCACTGACAGGGGAATCAAAATCTTTTTGATGGGTGCAACCGACAGAATGCATATTGTTGTCATCACTGTCTTTGATAAAATCTCATTGATCATGCTTTGTGTTGTAAATCGTTCTTGGGTATGTGCTCTACAATTCTTAGGGTTTTGTAGTGAAATAAGAGAAAAATTCATAGGCATAAGGCTGAGTGGCTAACACCCCTCGAGTTATTCTGAGAAGTTTTAAATAAAGTAAAAATAACTTTTGGTTAACAATTTAAATTTGAGTCTTGAAAACAGCCTCTTTCCAAAATGGGTAAGGATGCGTACAATCCACCCTTGCCTCTACCCTCGCAAGTTGGGGAGCCTTGCGTATCATGTTTTGCCTTTTTTTATTCAACAAAGCAGGTTTAATTTCCAAAAAATTATTCCTATGTATATAGGAGCTGACATTTAAATTTTTATCCATAAAGTTTCAATTCCATTTGTCCTTGGACCCTAGGAAAAAAAACAATTTTAAATTTTCTTTTGCAAATGAAATTATGAAAATGACAAATGTGATGTTCTTCTATAGTGCATGGTTTCTCTTTTCATCTGATCTCTCTGTTTTCCAGTAATTTGCATGATGTAAAAATTTGCGATCCTTCTTCATGGAAACATTGTCCATTGAGTTTGCTTTATGGTCACTGCAGGTTTCTTTGTTAAAAGACCGTGTTAACATTGCTAGCGGCACACCAAGCAGGTTGGTCGTCTTTGATCCTTTCTTTAAAAGAAAATTAGGAGGTGTTTATTGTCTTTTTTGTATTCATTTTCAGTTAATGTTGTCATTTGTTATTTTCAAATTGTTAGTTGTTTTCACATTATTTGTTTCCAAGATGTTGTGAAGGAAATGGTAAAACTAAAAACAAGATTTTGCTGTTTTAATGTTTTTTACCATTTCCACTGTAAATTCTCAAAAACAAGAAACAAAGTAAAAATCAATGAAATCATATCCTGAAAATGAAAAACAAACCATACACTATCTTATATTTTCTGGCAGATTGAAGATCTCTTTTCGTTTCTTTGGTGATTAGATAATTTAAAATCTTGACATTATTAAATTTGTAGTCATGTACGTGTTGTATAAATAATACATTACTCTCCATCAATTTCAGGATAAAGAAACTCATTGACACTGAGGCGTTAGGCCTTTCAAGGTTAAAAGTACTTGTGCTCGACATGCATCCTGACGTAAAGGGCTATTCCTTGTTTAGCCTTCCACAAGTCAGGTTTGGTTATACCTCGTCTCCCCTATTTCTGTCTTTAATTCTTAACGACATCATCTCTCTTGTAACATGACACAAAATTAGAAGCTGATGGATTGTATTGTGATGGGCTTTCAATAAAGTAACCAAGCCGTTAGTTGGGAATTAGTATATATTGAGATGTTTAGGGTGACATTTCATTATGCATGTATTCAGAATTGGTTAGTAGAAAAATTGAGGATATCTGAGAGTTGAGATTTCTAGGTTTATTTTTTGAATTTTATCTTGTAAGAAGCTTGGCTCTATTTATGTTTTCTGCAATTTCAGTTTTATAAAAGTAGCTTCCGTCATATTGAAATCGCCTTTTTCGTCTAGCTAAACTTATTGATGTTATACTTACAAGTGTATAATATAACTGACTGGCAGAGATGAATTCTGGGACCTGTTCAAGAATTATTTTTATCAACCGATGATCCAAGGCGATCTGCGCATCTGTCTCTATGGTCCATTACAGCTGGCTGTCCGTTTAAAAGGCAAACAAAGAGATTCTGTTCCAGATGAATAATATATCATGGGACTTCATTAATCTCATGCAATAGGAGAGAAACTCTTTCATACTATAGACACAACCATGTCTGGGATCCACCTACTTATAAAAAAAGAAAATGAAAAAAAAGAAACAACGCGAAAATCGATGTATGTGTAGGAGAGAAAAATACTCTCCGGTCTCCAACAACATGAGTATATTTTTCCTATATTATGATGTTAATCATCCTTGTTTTGTTTCAGTTTTGTATTCTAACAATTATTTTAGTACGATTCCTGTCATCTTTAAATAACATTAACGTTTTGATGAAATGCCAAGTCTAGTCTAATATTTGTTAGTTTTTATTATCACTAATGGAGTGATGTTGCTTTCTCTGACATTATTATTAGACATGATGGAGAATGCCTTAAAATAAATTACAAGGCATGTGCTTTATTCTTGTATATTTCATTTCCAAGTTCATTAACTTTTGTGGAGTTAGTTTCAATGATTTTGAGTTTTGCAAGTAGAGGTCATTTTGTTTATAAACTGTCTTAATGAATTATGTAGCTTATGCCAAAGTTCTCATCCTCTAAACTAAAAAGGATTTCGTAAATCATTACAAACAGATTAGTTTCTGGGGAATATATTATCGGGACGTAATCGATTGAAAGCATTCTGTGACCAAGACCAGTGATAATTCCGATAAAATGTCTAGAGATTTATCAGAAACTACAATAAAAAGAGGGGGGGGTATATCTTTCGCAAAGATACACAATGATATAGACTAAACCATCCCCGGCGCAAATAATAATATCTGACTACGCTGTAGTTTATTGATTGAAGCTTTTACCACTATCAAATATTTATATTAACAATAACTAATCAATTATTTTTTTATAAGGACGAATATGAGGGGAGAAATCCCATTAGTGACTTTTTTTTTTTTTCAGGGAGACAAGATGGTTAAAGCTAAATCAAGTGTGAACTGCCTGCCTCATCCACTTGGTAGCTGACCACTTCTCCCCAGAGAGTACCTCACATCCTCCATGCACACTATTCGGATCTGACTGTCCATCCAGTCCCTATGAAGACCAAGCAGACATTTAAAAGGTGATTATTTGGCAAAACAACTTTCCACTGTAAAGGTTCGTTCAAAAAATGCATAGCCCAAACAATTACAACTCCCCATGATTCAATACTCAGAGCAATGATAATATTTCTATCATAACAAGAATAGTAGCGTGGCGATGCCCTATTGCTGAACCAGCTAGAGTTTACAGCATTATTACAAACTGAGTATATATTGAAACTTAAAAATAACAAAAAACAAAAAACAAAAAAAAAAGGGAAAAAAGATAGACAGTGGTGATATAGAACAAGGCAGGAGGGAACGAACTTGCAATTAATGAAATTAATTTCAATTTGCAACATGTAAATACACAAGAAAAGTGGGACAATAAAGCAGGCCGTTCTTTGAAAACAAAAAAGGCTCCCTTGATCTAAGAATGATGCATATGGTTTTAGACATATTTCCATATTTTCGTTTGTGAGATGAGACATTCCAGAAAATTTCGCAAATGATTATGGCATGAGCTCATACTCTCTCCCTCTTTTGGGATTAAAGATTCAGCCTTAAAAACATAAGAAAATTACTAGAACAATTATGACAATAGATAGCTGCTCCTATTTCATAATTCCCATGAATGATGTCCCTAACAAGCAAATTAATTATACTAACCATACTCCAGAAAAGCACTGCATTTCCTTTGATTGGTTTCACGGATAGCCCTTTGACAAATTTCCCACCACAGCTACATTCACCTGAACCAGCCTAAAATGCATTGCATATTATCAATAGCAGCCTTCAGTACAGTCAAAAAGCCCAACTAGAATGTCAGATAGTTAATACTAGCACACATACGACAGAATAGATAGCAAATACTAGCATATTACAAATTGAGCCTATTTCTCATGTTAAAGGTAAAATCCAAAGAGAATCAACAAAATACCTTAATTCAGGAAAACAGTCTATAAGAGTAACATAACTAGTCTGAGCAGTACACATAATCATGGCATCATTATCATTTGGCTTTCTATTTCTTAGCAACTATCAAAACTCACATGAGCCAAAATTTAATAAATTATAAATGAGAATGCAGAATAAGAATTTCAACAAAGCTAGGGGACATACAACACAATTTTGACAGTTCTGGGAACTAAACAAAGAAACTGAAGAACAAAAGATACTTTTGTTAGTCAACAAAATATAACACATTCTCAGACACAACTCCAGCATCGACTTGCAACCTAATAATTGCTTTAGATTCAAGCTACTCATATGCTTCAGAACAATATCTACAGCAACTACCAAAACGTGCCAAATGACAAATTTCAGAAAACAAGAAGCTTACCATTGGGAAATATGTTTCCCCTCCCTCAACATTGTCACTTAAATACAGTAGCATTGTAGCTACTCGCTGCCCACCACGCTTCAAGTTGAACTGTCTCAAAAAAAGAAAAGCACAAAGGGTTGCAGATGGTTTCATTGAAGCCATTTCAAGGCAATTCTTGTGCTTATTGTAATAATAAAATAGCAAAGAGAGGATACAACTTACAGTATCAGAAAAATAGTCATGATGTGGTTTGTAAAACTGATTCTTCTCATACCTGTGCTGCTGCACATGTTAGCCTTGATACTAGCAAAACCCATCTTGTTCAGATATAACATAAAAAATAAGTCATATCCTCACCTCAGGACTTGCATAAGCTCTCCATGTTCAATTGGTACTTGAGAATAGACAGAAATTCTTTTTTCAATTGCCTAGTTGAGCAAGACGAACATATTTTATCAGACTGTATAATTAATGCTATCCAATAAAATGTAGTTTCGTATTTTAAAAAAAATGGTATGTTATAATAAAAAGAATTACAGGTTTTCAAGGAAACTTAAAATTTTATGTAACGGTGAAAAAAAACAGAGTAAAAAATGTTATACATATACAGAAATCAAATTTAATATGACTAATATGCAGGGCATTCTATCATCAAGAAAGCTTAAGCTTAAATATCAAATAAATGAATAATCACAGAATTTCGGTTTTTGTTTTGGGTCTGACTACACTACCCCCCACAAGGCCAATGGAGCACTGTTATTTAGGGTTACTAGCCTTAATAAGTTTTTACTTTATTTAATTTTGAACTTCAGTCCTAAGGGCATTTTAGCAATTTTCACATTTACTGGTTTTTGGTTTGGTCTTTTGATTCACAAGTTTCACTTAACAGATTAGTAATTGTAGAATCTCAATCCTTGTAGAACTGATTCTATTGCTAATTCTTGTAGAATAAGTTATTGAAAGAAGGTTCATTTAAACAGTTCTAATGCATTCTCTTTTTTGATGATCGTATTTATAAATTCATGGAGCACGTGGTTGTGATGCAATCAAACCCTAGGTGTGAAACCTAGAGGACCATTGGTATGACACAATGTTTCAAAAACCAAACTGACCACTAATAACCACCCAACAAGAGTTCTTAGTGAAGCAGCTGATTCGGTGAAAAAAGGATTCTTAGTGTGTATCAGTTCACAAAAACTGTCCAATTTTAAGGTTAAACCAGCTGGTGCAGTCCAGGTTTTTACCCTGGTTTGATCACAAAAGTAAGAGAAAGAAGACTTTAACGGAAAGTAAACTTAACAACTTACATGTACCATAGGATATTTTCTCTCTTCAGGACTCAAAAACATACCAGAGCTTGTCCTGACATCGCTCTTGATTCCCTGTGGAAGATAGAAATTCATCATGTTTTGGGAAGAAATACAAGTACTTTAAAATTCAAATAACAACTATATTCAGTTAGACTTAGATGCAAATTATCCCACGTGCTACTACTGACATGCTACTACATATCCACATTTGTTTTGGTATGGATTTCCTTTTCGGTTTAATCTATTTATGCAGGAAAGAAAACATCTGAAAATAGTTGTTTGGTCAGGTTGGAAGAGGCAAAAGCAATTCTTATTATTTTTTCATGATTGGTTCAAAATGATCTGAATGACCTCCATATTAGAACTGTGTTATCTGAATGAAGATAATAATTTTAGTTATCCTCACTAAAAATTTCCATTTCCATAATTTGACAGTAAAAAACACTTTTGCCTAATGGCCGTACAATATAATATTAATAACACATGATATTAGCCTACTTGGCCATGCTGTGAAATAAACAAAAGCTTATTTCAATCTTAATGAACAACAACATTTCTTTTAATTCTTCAAGGTGTTTTGCCAAATTCTTTTAAGTGTTTTTGTGTGACAGCAGACACAAAAAATTGATTTCAAGGAGAAATAAAAAAATTGGCGTAACTAGGAAGCAATGCAGAAGCATGAAAAAAAAAAAATCAATTTTAGAAAACATTGTTTCTTTATAGTTTTTTTTTTTAATTTTTCTATAGCATCATATTTTAAGAAAGCAATTTTCAGAAAAGCAAAAATTTCTCAGCAAGGCTGAAGTGCACTTTGAAAATTTTCACAGAAAGGCCAGACTGACTTTACCAGATGCACAAAATTGCTGTCAAAGAGAAGCAAAAATTGGTAAAATTAGGATGCAATGCAGAAACTGGGGGAAAAAATCAATTTCAGAAAAAATCGTTTCTTTCTAATTGCTTTTTCTTATAACAGAATATTTTAAGAAACCAATTTTTAAAACAGAAAAAATTTCACTGCAATGCCAAATTGACACGATAACTTGAGGAGTGCAATATACAATTGCACCATACTGTACACAACCCTCTCTGCTAAAATAATAAGGCTTTGATGTGAGGTGCTAGTCACATCCAATAACGGTAACTGGGTTTTCTATCTAGATCATTGTCTCTCTAGTTTCTACAGGCTTCATAATATCCAATTGTGAACAATTTTGCAGGTGAGAATTGAAGAACTTTCCTAATAAAGGTATAGTCCATAGAGAAGATCATGCAATAATTTCAAAACAACTCTTAAAATGGATTCAGCTCTCCTTAATTTGAAGCTTGGTATTCTTCTCTTGAGTTTGTAACTTCTCATTCATATTTTTTCCATGCCCTAGGTTTGGTATTTTCTGAGTTGGGTCCTCCCGCAATTGAATAAGCCATTTAAAAGTTGTCAACAAATTTATTCATAAAAAAGAAGAAAGAAAAAGCTGAGTCATAAAGCCAATTTGAATCTTCGTTGCACAACAAAATTATAGAGGGTTCAATAGAAATATCAAGCTACTGTCTACGCATATACGCTTTGTCTTTCTTTCTAAAAGGCATTTAGTAATATATATCAAATTAACACAAACTAAAATCAGGAATTTCAAAGGTGAATCTGACAATAGTTCTTCACGTGAGCTAATGAAACTTCAACCCGATCTCATCACCTATCATATATTGATGGTTATGACCAATCAAAATGAAATTTCAAAAGAAAATAAAACTGTCAATGTACCTTTCCAGTTTTGGTATCCACCACTGTTGAAACTTGCAGGCGAGGGTGTGCTATAGCCCTGAGATAATCACATTCCTGTAAAGACAAAATAGTTTTAATACACACACGTGACCATCATCTTCAAGGTTCTTTATTCAGCAGCAGCATTTTGTAAAAATGGTTAATTGCCCGAGATTAGTATTTGATCCTCTTTCACTGGATAGGAAGATCTTATATGTGGCTAACAAGAAAATCATACAGCACAGCTAGCAGCCTGGTACTTCATGAGGAAACTTCTGCCTTGAATGGATGTTAGAAAATTTTAATTGACTATTTTCAGTCTTCACAGCTCATAATCAAAATTTTATTGAGGAAACTTTGAAAAGAAAAAAACAAAAAAGGAAATTTTTGTTTCTCAAAATTGATCAAAACCAAACATGCATTTTCTAGGTTTTCCATAAATAGCAGCACAGAATGTAATGATAATTACAGAAACATGTTGATATAGGATTTAATATATTTACAACCAGATTAATAGGTCTGCTAATAAAATTTTATCATAATAGGGGCTTACATTGTAATTCCAGGATTCTCTGGCTTAATATAAAAGATGCCGACCATAGAATGATCAAACTCGTTCGTAACAATGATTATGTCTTGTACTGAAGAAAAAATATTATTAATTCTATTTTCATGTACAAGCCATCTAATATTAGGCTATGTTATCTTTTGTCCCCACATCCCTGTTTTTAATAAGAAAGCCCAATCTCATTCAAAATTCCAAATGCCCCAAGAATGTCAGAACACATAACTAAAACCTTTTTTTTTTGCCTTTCATAACTAAAACTAAATAACAACCTTCAAACATAATACTTTTCCAAGCCATATCATGCATGTACGTGGTCCCAAATATTATAAACTTGGGCCCTTTTTTTACTAAAAGAAGAAATATTATTAGAAAGGGGTAATGAGTATTTGGGCCCATAATACTTTATAAATAAATGAGCCTAAGAATAATCATTTTGATAATGAAAATCAGCAATCAGAAGAAAGGAAATACCTCCATGCTCAGGAAGTTATGCAATAAAATAATTCGTGGAGACCAGCTAAGCACTTCAGGTTTGACCTACAACAAGGAATGATGATCAGAGGAGAATAAACATCAAATTTTAAGCATGTGTAGGCAATGGTATCTTTATTCAATCAAAGAGGAAGAGAAAACACTAGTAAATATAAAAGCTTCAGAGAAAAAATGGGACAACAGACATACATATCCAAGGCGTAAGATTTCTGCTTCCTTGTCATTACTCCAATGAGGAATACCTGAATTTCAAAAGAAATAGGAGAAAGAGTTCCAATCACAGAAAAATGCATGCTAATAACAAATTTTTAAATTATTTTTTCAAAAAAAAAATACATACTGATGATATAACATACAAAGATATTATTTTTTATCAAAAAATTAAAACAAACACTTTACCCAGAAGACACAGCAATAAAAAGTTTGAGATTCATTCATGAATAAAAGAAAAAATATCAATATGGTAGCATATTTTATTGTTAAGGCAAAACAACACACATGGTAAAGCAAATGAACTACATATATCCCGCATGTGATAAATAACATTAAAAGTAATGGAAGCAGGCACATGCGTCTCGCATTAAAAAGATGGAAGTAACATATTATTTAGGCATAAAATAAGATAAGATAAACATACTTTGTGATACTTTAAAAAAGCAGCCACACTTGTATTCTAAATAAAACTAAAATAATACTGACCTCTGGGCAACTGAAGGTAACCATCACCCTCAAGTCCACGCAATCTTCTAAATGGAAAAGACTCAGTGCCTAAAAAGAACTAGTTAGGCAAAAGGAGCATAAGAATAACAATCAAATTTGTAAAACTCTGTCAAATATCCCCCTCACATAAATACCATATTTGGTTTCACCTTGTTACAGAAGTAAGATAGAAAATCATTCATGTGCCTTCAACTAAAAGCTTAAGCTTTTGAAAAAGTAGGTTCATAACATGGTAATAGAGTGTTTGTGAGCAAGTGGTATTCAGTTTGATACCCATTCTTCCAATAAAACGTTGAATTTTGGCACAAGGTAGGTATGTTTTCACTCGTCAACATTTTGAGTCCAAAGAGCTCTTGTACAAAGGGGTGTGTTAAAATAGTAATATAGAGAGTCATTCATGTGCTTTCACCTAGCAGCTTAAGCTTTGAAGATAATTGTTTCTAGACAAGCCTATTGTCATTAAAAATTAAGACAGAAAACATTCTTGCAAAAAAGTTTTGTTGTTTCTTTATTTTAAAAACAGGCAGCAGTTCTTGAAAATAAAAACCAAACAGCCCCTTAAACACTATTTAGCCACAATACTAAGAGAAAGAGTACAACTTTATACCATATGATTCTTCCAATTTTCGTATGAATGCCAATTGCGAGAGAGCACCTGTAATTCCAGAACAGAAAAGAATCCATTAGATAATTATATAATGAAAAACTTTGTTGGTATTGATTCTTGTTAATAATTTAACAGTAATAACCATTTTATTACTGACATAATTCTTTTCTAGTAGTGCAATAAGCCAACACAGGAATATAGAAGAAATAAATCCACCAATTTGCAAAAAAATTATTCAAAAACAGGAATTATCTCTAAATTGCACGCAACATAGTCTATAGATTTTTCAAAAAGGGGTGGGAGGGGAGTTGCCAACACCTAAAAATAAATGAACACATAATCACCCACAATAAGGAATTGCAAATATCTCTGCAGATATATCACAAAATCTCTTCTTCTTTAATCATTTTTTTTCTAGACATAATTGTGAAACGTGGATCACCTTTGGCATTCCACAGCTTTCAAAACACAAGAGCATCTATGAGCTAGTTCTGTGGTAACTGCAGCATTAAACTAAAAGCCAAGAGCACTTTTTCTTAATGGACTTGTAATACCAAATACAAGTATTCAAAGTAGTACAGTTACTGTTGAGGAGGACAACAGAGGCATTTCTTTCAACTTTAATTAGCTCATTCGGTTTTGTTGGCATAGAATGTAAAATAAGGCTAGTTATCTAATTTAAAGAAGATGAAATGCACGCACGGAGATCATGGCTCCATTATAATAAGTTGGGAACGTAATATGAAATCGATAGAGCATCTAAAATGAAAATTACCTATAATCATTCCGATGGTGACAAATGTGAGAAGTCCGAAAAGGATCCTCATCGGAGGCGCCATGGAAACGGAGAGAAGATGAAGATCAAAGAGGGTATAAATGTCAAATTCAAAACTCACTCACTCACTCTCACACGCAAACGCAAACGCAAACGCAAACGCTGCTAAATTTTGTGCGTCCACAAACCGCTGTCTCACTCTAACTCTGACTCTGACGCCGACGCCCATAGCTTTTATGCAGCGTTTTGCTTTCCAAAATTGAAGACTTATTAGTTTTCTTGTTTGCTTTTTTTTTTCTTTAGAAAAAAAAGAATTCTTTTTTTGTTTTTTTTTTTTTCACAAAGAAAAATCATTAAAATGTATATAAATAAATTTTATTTTATTTTGTATCTTTTATTCAATAAAATCAATTTTCTTAAAAAAATTATATAATGTGTAACATTATTATAATGTGAAGACCTGCATCGGCGTACAAGATAAGGTAATACAAACTCCTTACTTGACAAATTTATCTTCCTCAAATAATCAATAAAACAAGAGAAAATCTCAAACACATTCATATTTCAAATTTTACTGAAATTTTGACAGTTTATTTTGTATTTCAAATATTTCCAAACAAAAAACCCAAACACCTACTACATAAGGTATATATTACCAACCAATAGCAATAATAACAAAATATATAATTCAGACTTTATAGACTTAACAAAATTTAAAAGATGTCACTAACAGACTCTCCATAGTTACAAACTACTTAGAGTTCCAAAATAAATAAATAAATGACATTCTACCCAAAAAAGAGCCACCAAAATATTCTATGAAAAGATCTGCAACTCCTAATAGTCACTACTCAATGGTCTGGTAGTCACACAGACTCAATGAGCGTATAATAATTACAATGAACAGGAATAAGAAACAAGATACGCGATTGCTTTATCCTTTTAACAACTTAGCCATAAACATATTCAAACAATGAAAGTAAACAATGTAAATAAAATCAACAATGTAGATATGTGAATAAAAATCAAGAAATTTTAGAATGATGTAATGAAAATTTACAAAGCATTATAAAATCATAAGTTTAATATGATGGAGATATCACATGATAGAATCAAGCAATGGCCGGCTTCACTTCACTTTACTGATAGTCCTCTCCTCCTAAGGGTGTCCTTTTCCTTAGAGGTGACTTCATCTAACATGCATCCTTTTCCTTTTTTCAAGTCAAACTATCGGAGGCGACCTCATCTCGCATTTCGCTTACCTCTCTTCAAAAACGATGACCCCTCTCTTGAGGCGGCTATATCTAGCGGATACTCCTCTCTTCCAGGAATAAATATGTATATACAACTAGGTGAACTTAGACCGTTATCCCTACTAACGGTTACTAGATTCTAACATGGATCCGAGAATAATATTTACAAAATATTTTAACAAAGCAACATTTAGTTCACATAAATTCATTTCCAAAGATAAATACAAATTATAAAATCTCAACATCTTAAATTAAATATTTCATAATAAAATTTATATCCAAAATTTATAAAATAATTACAAATTCCAAAAATCATTAATATAATGCCATTATATACAAACCCATGTCATGTAATTTTAAAATTGCATAAATTTGAATAATCACATTTTAAAATATTTATTTCCTTATGCATTTGTTACTAAACAATAATAATAAAATAAAAGTTGAAGGATAATAATAAAAATAAAATATGTCATTAGAATTATCATCCACTCACAGCTCTAAAAAAACAACTAAAGCACCTATAATGACTATGAGTAAGCAACCGAGCTATGTTTTAGCTAGGGCTGGCAATATGGGCCAGCCCGCCCCGGCCCGCCACTAGCCCGCCCAAAATGGGCTGGCCCGCCCCGGCCCGTTTTGATCAAATGGGTTGAATTGAGTAACCCGGCCCGTTTTATGAGTGGGCTGGCGGGCTACGGGCCAGCTCGTCTAAAATAAAAATAAAATAAAAATAAAATACAAAAAATTAAATTCTGCATAAAATCACATAAAAAAATCTGCATAAAAGCATACAAAAATCTGTATAAAATCCTAATGTGCTTATGAAACCAAGAAGATCAGTGTTTAATAATCTGCATATAAATATGCATCTTTCAATCCAAAAATAATAATAAAAAAATAAAATCATATCAGGATAAAATATAATAACAAAACAAGTAACAAAGTGTTGTATGAGCAGTCCACAACAATTCAAAAAAGCCACTTGCAAGCAGAGAAATCTAAGATACGGAGCTACATAACAATTGGGTAACCTAAAAAAAAAAAAAAAAAAATGACTTGGCGGGCTAGCCCGCCCCGTGGCGGGCTGACCCATATGGGCTGGCGGGTTTGGCGGGCTGGTGGGTTTAAAGACTCAACCCAACCCGCCCCATTTGGCAGGCGGGGCGGGCCAGCCCGGCGGGCTCAGCCCATTTTGCCGGCCCTAGTTTTAGCCAAATTTGAACATCATAAATATTTTAACAATGGATAATAAGGATATAGATAAAAACCCTAAATCTAGTCTCAAATCTCAAGAATACAACTACCCTAATCAGACCTTGTATAATAATACATTACTCTCCATGAATTTCGGGATAAAGAAACCCATTGACACTATAGGCGTTAGGATTTTCATACTATATACTTGCAAACAAATGTTACTTCTATTTTAAAGATTTGAAGAGTTGTAAATTTATATTTTCCCCAAAAAATATCTACAGACAGGGTTGTAAAACGTCAAAAAGTAGGCTAAAAAGTTTGTATAAAGCCAAAGCAATAGACTAGAAGGGATGAAAGTCAGTGGACAAACAGGGCAACGATCTTGAAAATAATGGAGCAAAAATCTGCATTTTTTCGCATGCCTTCCTTTTCCTTTGTTTTTGTCTTATTTATTTTCACTGATTGAATGCTATTATGTAAACGTCACAAATAATACTTACCTATCTCAATCTCATTAACCTCACCACGTAGTAGATCAGAGACACAGCCACTTCCACCTTTTCTGCCATCTCCCAGGTAAGTCTTCCTCTTGGAACATAAACATTTATAACTCCCAGGTAAGTTAATGCAAATGTCTGAACAGTCATTTAGACTCGGATTGAAACACTCATCAATATCTTATAAAGAAACAACCCAAAAATAGTTAATACTCCATTCAGTTTATGAGAAAACAAATTATGAATGAGACTAATTACATTCACTAGGATTCTAGGAAGGTAAGCATTTCCCACATAAGTGACATAACCTTCTAAGCATCTGCAGAGGTACCCTACTCCATTTTCAGAGTCAATACATACGCTATTTGCTTGGCATGCATAACTGGTCAAGTTCTTCTTAGCTTCTTTGCATGTCTTATTCCCAACAGACCAATCAAGCACTAAGGGAGTGGTTCTTCTCTTCTGCAGATTGATAAAGTCAGAGGAGGAAAAGTTGAAAAATTCTTCTTCTACCATTTTGCATATAATATATGTGTCTATCTAATCTCATGTTGCAAGAGAAATCTTCTCTTATGTTGTAAATTAGGCCCGCCATTTTAAAAAAAAGTGTCACAGTTTTCGATGGGTCTATTGAAGATAAAACTACTCTTATGCAACATAAGAGTAGTTTTTTCCATTTATATATATATATATATATATATATATATATATATATATATATATATATATTTTAGAGGGGGCAACGGCCCACCTAATCCCCCTAGTTCCGCCTCTGTTATGCATGATAGAGAACGGTTTAAAATAAATTACAAGGCATGTGTTTTATTCTTGTATATTTCAATTACACGTTCGTTTGCTTCTGAGGTGTTAGTTTCAATGATTTTGAGTTTTTCAATCATATTTTAACATGACAAACGAAATAAAATTTATTGTAACACAAGCAGAGGTCATTCTGTTATAAACTGTCGTAAGAATTATGTAGCTTATGCCAAAGTTCTCGTCCTCTAAACTAAAAAGGATTTTGTAAATCATTACAAACGGATTAGTTTTTATGTGAAACTTACTAGGACGAACTTCTGGGTAATCGATTGAAAGCATTTTTGTGACCAAGAACAATGATAATCCCGATAAAATGTCTAGATATTTATCAGAAGAGGAAAGATCCGTTTACAAACTTTTTTGACAAATTTTTACAAATTACACTATCGAGAACATAGTGAAACCTAGTATTCTCCCGAAAGAAGATAGTGTAGTTTGTAAGAGTTTGTAAATATAATCTGTCCCTTTACCAGAAACTTGAATAAAAAATAGTGTATACCCGAAAAAGGGGTATATCTTTCGCAAAGATACACAATGATATAGACTAAACCATCCGCGGCGCAAATAATAATATCAAACTACGCTGTAGGTTATTAATTAAAGCTTTTACCACTATCAAATACGAGAGAGGTTATATTTACTACCTCTTTCTTATTATCTCTTACTATCAAATCTTAACCATTGATTTCCGTCAATCTAACCATTATAATTTATTAGGTTATACTTATTAATTAATTATTAATTTCTAATAAATTATAATGTTAGATTGGCGAAAATCAACGGTTAAGATTTGATAGTAAGAAAAAGAGGTAGTAAATATAACCTCTCCCATCAAATATCTATATTAACAATAAATAATCAATTATTTTTTTTATAAGGACGAATATGAGGGGAGAAATCCCATTAGTGACTTTTTTTTTTTTTTCAGGGAGACAAGATGGTTAAAGCTAAATCAAGTGTGAACTGCCTGCCTCATCCACTTGGTAGCTGACCACTTCTCGCCAGAGAGTACCTCACATCCTCCATGCATACTATTCGGATCTGACTGTCCATCCAGTCCCTATGAAGACCAAGCAGACATTTAAAAGGTGATTATTTGGCAAAACAACTTTCCACTGTAAAGGTTCGTTCAAAAAATGCATAGCCCAAACAATTACAACTCCCCATGATTCAATACTCAGAGCAATGATAATATTTCTATCATAACAAGAATAGTAGCGTGGCGATGTCCTATTGCTGAACCAGCTAGAGTTTACAGCATTATTACAACGAGTATATATTGAAACAAACAAAAAACACAAGGGAAAAAGATAGACAGTGGTGATATAGAACAAGGCAGGAGGGCATGAACTTGCCATTGATGATATTAATTGCAATTTGCTACATGTAAATACACAAGAAAAGTGGGACAAGACAATAGAGCAGGCCGTTCTTAGAAAACAAAAAAGGCTCCCTTGATCTAAGAATGATGCATATGGTTTCAAACATATTTCCATATTTTCGTTTGTGAGATGAGACATTCCAGTAAATTTCACAAATGAAAATGGCATGAGCCCATATTTTATTGTATTTTTAAGGACTTGGTTTGTCAATTATTAATAATGACACATACTCTCTCCCACTTTTGGATTTAAAGATTCAGTCTTAAAAACATAAAAAAAGTACTAGAACATTTATGACAATAGATAGCTGCTCCTATTTCATAATTCCCATGAATGACATCCCTAACAAGCAAATTAATTATACTAACCATACTCCAGAAAAGCACTGCATTTCCTTTGATTGGTTTCACGGATAGCCCTTTGACAAATTTCCCACCACAGCTACATTCACCTGAACCAGCCTAAAATGCATTGCATATTATCAATAGCAGCCTTCAGTACAGTCAAAAAGCCCAACTAGAATGTCAGATAGTTAATACTAGCACACATACCACAGAATAGATAGCAAATACTAGCATATTACAAATTGAGCCTATTTCTCATGTTAAAGGTAAAATCCAAATAGAATCAACAAAATACCTTAATTCAGGAAAACAGTCTATAAGAGTAACATAACTAGTCTGAGCAGTACACATAATCATGGCATCATTATCATTTGGCTTTCTATTTCTTAGCAACTATCAAAACTCACATGAGCCAAAATTTAATAAATTATAAATGAGAATGCAGAATAAGAATTTCAACAAAGATAGGGGACATACAACACAAATTTTTTGAGAGTTCTAGGAACTAAACAAAGAAACTGAAAAGCAAAAGATACTTTTGTTGGTCAACAAAATATAACACATTCTCAGACACAACTCCAGCATCAACTTGCAACATAATAATTGCTTTAGATTCAGGCTACTCATATGCTTCAGAACAATATCCACAGCAACTACCAAAACGTGCTAAATGACAAATTTCAGAAAACGAGAAGCTTACCATTGGGAAATATGTTTCCCCTCCCTCAACATTGTCACTTAAATACATTAGCATTGTAGCTATTCGCTGTCCACCATGCTTCAAGCTGAACTGTCTCAAAAAAAGAAAAGCACAAAGGATTGCAGATGGTTTCATTGAAGCCATTTCAAGGCAATTCTTGTGCTTGTTGTAATAATAACAATAGCAAAGAGAAGAATACAACTTACAGTATCAGAAAAATAGTCATGATGTGGTTTGTAAAACTGATTCTTCTCATACCTGTGCTGCTGCAGATGTTAACCTTGATACTGGCAAAACCCATCTTGCTCAGATATAACATAAAAAATAAGTCATATCCTCACCTCAGGACTTGCATAAGCGCTCCATGTTCAATTGGTATTTGAGAATAGACAGAAATTCTTTTTTCAATTGCCTAGTTGAGCAAGACGAACATATTTTATCAGACTGTATAATTAATGCTATCCAATAAAATATAGTTTTGTATTTTAAAAAAATAGTATCCTATAATAAAAAGAATTAGAGGCTTTCAAGGAAACTTAAAATTTTATGTAACGGTGAAAATACAGAAATCAAATTTAATATGACTAATATGCAGGGCATACTAGCATCAATAAAGCTTAAGCTTAAATATCAAATAAATGAATAATCAGAGAATTTCGGTTTTATTTTGTTTCGGGTCTGACTGCACTTCCTGCCCACAAGGTTAGGATCACTGTTATTTAGGGTTACTAGCCTTAATAAGTTTTTACTTTATTTAATTTTGAACTTCAGTCCTAAGGCACTTTAGTAATTTTCACATTTAAGGGTTTTGAGTTTGGTCTTGTGATTCACAAGTTTCACTTATCAGATTAGTAATTGTAGAATCTCAATCCTTGTAGAGCTGATTCTATTGCTGATTCTTGTAGAATAAGTTATTGAAAGAAGGTCCATTTAAACAGTTTTAATGCATTCTCTTTTTTGATGATCAGATTTATAAAATTCATGGAGCACGTGGTTGTGATGCAATCAAACCCTAGGTGAGAAACCAAAAGGACCATAGGTATGACAATGTTTCAAAAACCAAACCGACCACTAATAACCACCCAACAAGAGTTTTTAGTGAAGCAGCTGATTATGTGAAAAAAGGATTCCTAGGGCATGTTTGGTGCACGGTATAGGATAAAGTCTGATAGTAACTTGATAGTATAAGGCCTGATTATATAAGACCTGATTAAAAATTAATACTATCCAGCGTTTGGCATGATATTATATAAGATAATATATGGTATAAGATAATAGCATCCAGTGTTTGGTAATACATTGTATAATACTAAATAGAATAAAAATTAATATTTTTGAAAAAAATACCTTTTAATAAAGAATTTATATAATTCTTCCAAATATGTCATATGATATTAATTTTTTGTAAAAATCCATTGATTAGTGTGTCAGAAAAATATATTAATTTTTATAAAAATAAAAAATCTACAATATTTTAAAAATTAATATATTGAAAAGTTATTTTTATTTTAATATATTAATATTAAAATAGTATATTAATTCTTAAGAATTGCACTAGTCAGCAATGTTAATACATCAACCCCTTATCAGGCATAATCTCACCCCCTTAGGGCATGTTTGGTGCATAGTATAGGATAAGGCTTGATAGTATAAGACCTGAGATAGTATAGGACCTGATTAAATTTTAATACTATCCAGCGTTTGGTATGATATTGTATAAGATAATATCCTTCAATATTTTAAAATATTAAAAAAATTTATTTTAATATATAAATATTGAAATGATATATTAGTTCTTGGGAATTGTATTTGTAAGCAATATTAATACATCAAACCCCTTATCAGGCCTAATCCACCACTCCTAGGCCGGATTAAGTTATACATCATTTTGATGTACAAAGGGATCCTGCTGTATAAACTTATAGTATACGATGGTCACACCAAACAACTGAAAATATCATAACGTATAGTATAAGCTTATACTATCAGGCCTTATACATCACACCAAACAGGCCTTTAGACTTGATTAAGTTATACATCATTTTGATGTATTGAGAGATTATGCTATATAAGCTTATACTATACGATGGTCACACGGACCAAACAATTAAAAATGTCATAACGTATAATTCTTAAGAATTGCACTAGTCAGCAATGTTAATACATCAACCCCCTATCAGGACTTACACATCACACCAAACAGGCCCTTAGCATGTATCAAACCAGAAAACTATCCAATTTTATGGTTAAACCAGCTAGTGCAGTCCAGGTTTTTACCCTGGTTTGATGACAAAAGTAAGATAAAGAAGACTTTAGGGGAAAGTAAACTTGATAACTTACATGTACCATAGGATATTTTCTCTCTTCGGGACTCAAAAACATACCAGAGCTTGTCCTGACATCATTCTTGATTCCCTGTGGAAGATAGAAATATCATCATGTTTTGGGAAGAAATACAAGTTCTTTAAAATTCAAATAACAACTATATTAAGTTAGACTTAGATGCAAATGATCCCACGTGCTGCTACTACTGACATGCTACTACATATCCACATTTGTTTTGATATTGTTAGAGATACAAAATATAATAAATCATTAATTAAGTCTCACTTAATGACTTAAGATTTTGGGTTGAAATGGTTCTTATCATGGTATCAGAGCCTCAATGACTAAGTGGTCACGAGTTCAATCCTCATTGCCCCCCACTTTCAGGTGGAATTAAGAAAAGCATAAGGTAAACCAAAAATGGGTTTGTGCAGCACAAAGTAGACCAAAAAAAGAGCCTGTCATATTCACCCTTCAAGCCCAAAGGGCTCTAAAATGAGAAGGTGTGTTACAGAGATATAAAAATCAGTAATGTATCCTCACCCAAAGCCTTAAGGTTTTGGGTTGAAGTGCCACTTGACAGATATGGATTTCCTTTTCTGTTTAATCTATTTATGTATGAAAGAAAACATCTGAAAATAGTTGTTTGGTAATGGTGGAAGGGGAAAAAGCAATTCTTATTATTTTTTCATGATTGGCTCAAAATGATATGAATGACCTCCATATTAGAACTGTGTTATCTGAATGAGGATAATAATTTTAGTTAATTATTATCCTCATTCAAAATTTCCATTTCCATAATTTGACAGTAAAAAACACTTTTGCCTAATGGCCATACAATATAATAACACATGGTATTAGCCTATTTGGCCACGCTGTGAAATCAAGAAAAGCTTATTTCAATCTTAATGAACAACATTTCTTTTAATTCTTCAAGGTGTTTTGCCAAATTCTTTTAAGTGCTTTTATGTAACAGCAGACACAAAAGATCGATGTCAAAGAGAAATAATAAATCGGCGTAACTGGGAAGCAATGCAGAAGCTTGAAAAAAAATCAATTTTAGAAAACATTGTTTCTTTCTAGTAGTTTATTTTATATTTTTTTATAGCATCATATTTTCAGAAAAGCAAAAATTTCTCAGCAAGGCCAAAGCGCACTTTGAAAATTTTCACAGAAAGGCCAGAGTGACTTTTCCAGATGCACAAAATTGCTGTCAAAGAGAAGCAAAAATTGGTATAATTAGGTTACAACGCAGAAACGGGAAAAAAATCAATTTCATAAAAAATCGTTTCTTTCTAATAGCTTGTTAGAGTATAATATAAAACTATTAAAGAGACCTTCACTTAACAGCTTAAGCTTTTGAGTTGAATTGGTTCTTTACATGGTATCAGAACCTGCATTACCTTGTGCTTATTTAATTCCATTAGAAAGTGGGAGGCGGTGAGAATCGAACTCGTGACCATGTGGTCACTGAACCTCTGATACCATGTTAAGAACCATTTCAACCCAAAACCTTAAGGTATTGGGTTGAATGGTTCTTTACCCGGGACACCGAGGCTGTAATGGTTCTTTACCCAAAAGCTTTTGGGTTGAATTGGTTCTTTATATGGTATCAGAGCCTCGTGTCTCGGGTTCGATCCTCGCCACCTCCACTTTCTCTTGTGAAAATTTTTTAGCATAGGTAGGTGGGCCTGTGCATTGTCCACCCTTCAAACTCAACGGGCTCTTGTGCGAAGGGGCGTGTTAGAGATATATAAAAATTGTTGGGATATTCAAGTGTGATGAGTCTCACATTGGTTGGTAATGGGCTAAGTGAAGTGGATATAAGAGGATGGATCCATGAACCCAATGCCTTAAGGTTTTGGGTTAAGATGTGGTGTCGGACTCACTTTGTGTATTTGATCCACTTAGCCCATTGGTGGTGATCCCCGTCTGACAATGGTATCAGAGCCGGGTTGGGCTTGGGCTAGCTAGGTGTTTGGCTAGGAGGCGAGTTGAGTACTTTGGGCTTGGGTACTCAGTTGAGGAGAAGCATATCAATGGTGGGTTTCACACTTAAGGGGGAGGTTGTTTGGATATTCAAGTGTGATTAGTCTCACATTGGTTGCTAATGGGCTAAGTGAACTGGATATAAGAGGATGGACCCATGAACCTAATACCTTAAGGTTTTGGGTTAAAGTGGCTTTTTACATGGTATCAGAGCCTCAGTTTCCCGAGTTCGATCGTCACTGGATATAAGAGGATGGACCCATGAACCTAATACCTTAAGATTTTGGGTTAAAGTGGCTTTTTACATAGTATCAGAGCCTCAGTTTTCCAGGTTTGGTCCTCGCCGCCCCCCATTTTCTTTGTGGAATTTCTTAGCACAGATAGGCTGGGCCTTATGCATCATCCACCTTTCAAACCTAATGGGCTCTCTTGTGAGGGGATTTATTAGAGATATATAAAACCATTAATGTAGTCTCACCCAACAGCTTAAACTTTTGGGTTGAATTGGTTCTTTACATAGCTTTTTCTTATAACAGCATATTTTAAGAAACCAATTCTCAAAATGGAAAAAATTTAACAGCAATGCCAAATTGACACGATAACTTGAGGAGTGCACCATACAATTGCACCATACTGTAAACAACCCTCTCTGCTAAAATAATAAGGCTTTGATGTGAGGTGCTACTCACATCCATTCACGGTAACTGGGTTTTCTATCTAGATCATTGTCTCTGTAGTTTCTACAGGCTTCATAATCTCCAACTGTGAACTATTTTGCAGGTGAGAATTGAAAGAACTTTCCTAATAAAGGTATAGTCCATAGAGAGGATCATGCAATAATTTCAAAACAACTCTTAAAATGGATCCAGCTCTTTCCTTAATTTCAAGCTTGGTATTCTTCTCTTGAGTTCGTAACTTCTCATTCATCTTTTTTTCTTGCCCTAGGTTAGGTATTTTCTGAGCTGGGTCCTCCCGCCATTGCATAAGCCATTTAATAGTTGTCAACAAATTTATTCATAAAAGAGAAGAAAGAAAAAGCTGTCATAAAGCCAATTTGATTGTTAGTTGCACAACATTATAGAGGGTTCAATAGAATATCAAGCTGCTGTCTATGCATATACGCCTTGTCTTTCTTCCTAAAAGGCATTTAGTAATATATATCAAATTTATACAAACTAAATTCAGGAATTTCAAAGGTGAATCTGACAATACTTCACGGGAGCAAATGAAACTTTAACCTGACCTCATCACCTATATTGATGGTTATGACCAATCAAAATGAAATTTCAAAAGAAAATAAAACTGTCAATGTACCTTTCCAGTTTTGGTATCCACCACTGTTGAAACTTGCAGGCGAGGGCGTGCTATAGCCCTGAGATAATCACATTCCTGTAAAGACAAAATAGTTTTAATACACACACGTGACCATGATCTTCAAGGTTCTTTATTCAGCAGCAGCATTTGTAAAATTGGTTAATTGCCCGAGATTAGTATTTGATCCTCTTTCACTGGATAGGAAGATCTTATATGTGGCTAACAAAAAAATCATACTGCACAGCTAGCAGCCTGGTACTTCATGAGGAAACTTCTGCCCTTGAATAGATGTTAGAAAATTTTAATTGACTATTCAGTCCTCACAGCTTATAATCAAAATCTTATTGAGGAAACTTTCAAAACTGTTTGATTGTGTTTTGGTTTTTTTTTTCTTAAAACTGTTTTCTAGAATAATTATGGAAACAGTTGTTTTCTGTGTTTTTTTTTTGTTTTGAAAGTTAAAAACCAAAACAGAAAATAAAAACAACTCAGATATGTTCTCTAAATTTGATTCTGAAAACAAAAAAATAGTTACAGTTTTTAAAACTTTTTTTACAAAACAAGCCTTACCAAACGAGTTTTTTTTGTTCTGAAAACTAAAAAACTGTTTTTAAAAACAGTAATCAAACAGTGACTTTGTTTCTCAAAATTGATCAAAACCAAACATGCATCTTTTAGGTTTTTCCATAAATAGCAGCGCAGAATGTAATGATTATTGCAGAAACATGTTGATATAGGATTTAATATATTTACAACCAGATTAATAGGTCTGCTAGAAGTTTATCATAATAGGGGCTTACATTGTAATTCCAGGATTCTGGGTTTTAAAAGTTCCTGGCTTAATATAAAAGATGCCGACTATAGAAATGATCACACTAGTAAGAATGATTATGTCTTGTACTGCAGAAAAAATATTATTAATTTTATTTTCATGTACAAGCCATCTAATATTAGGCTATGTTGTCTTTTGTCCCCACATCCCAGTTTTTAATAAGAAAGCCCATGAATCTCATTCGAAATTCCAAATGCCCCAAGAATGTCATAACTAAAACCTTTCTTCCTTCTAGTTTTTTTTTTTTTTTTAACTAAAACTAAATAATAACCTTCAAACATAATACTTTTCCATGCCATATCAGGCATGTATGTGGTCCCAAAAAGTATAAACTTGGACCCTTTTTTTTACCAAAAGAAGAAATATTATTAGAAAGGGGGAATGAGTATTTGGGCCCATAATGTTGAACCTATACTTTATAAATAAATGAGCCCAAGAATAATCATTTTGATAATGAAAATCAGCAATCAGAAGAAAGGAAATACCTCCATGCTCAGGAAGTTATGCAATAAAATAATTCGTGGAGACCAGCTAAGCACTTCAGGTTTGACCTATAACAAGGATTGATGATCAGAGGAGAATAAACATCAAATTTTAAGCATGTGTAGGCAATGGTATCTTGATTCAATCAAAGAGGAAGAGAAAACACTTCTAAATATAAAAGCTTAGGAGAAAAAATGGCACAACAGACATACATATCCAAGGCGTAAGATTTCTGCTTCCTTGTCATTATTCCAATGAGGAATACCTGAAAATCAAAAGAAATAATTGAAAAAGAAATAGGAGAAAGAGTTTCAATCACAGAAAACTGCATGCTAATAACAAATTTTAAAATTATTTTAAAAAAAAAATACATACTGATGATATAACATGCAAAGATATTATTTTTTATCAAAAAATTAAAACAAACACTATTCCCAGAAGGCACAGCAATTAAAAGTTTGAAATTCATTCATGAATTAAAGAAAAAATATCAATATGGTAGCATATTTTATTCAGGGAAAAATATGAAAAAAAAAAATAGTAATATACAAAATATCACTTTGGTAATATTAGTGGATTGTTGTCTTAAAAATTAATCCCCTAAAATTTAAAAAGAAAAATCCCTAAAAGAAAACCATATCCCCTTAAGGATGTAAATGGGTCACAAGTCTATTTTAACAAGGATGACCTCTAAGCCTTCAAGCTAGGTTCTTATTTTTTTATAAAAAATATTTTATTTTTTTTATAAAATAATATCTTATGATCTTTTTAATTTTTCGTAATCTTCTCACTTACCAAATACATTTTTTTCTTAACCCTAATTCCTTTGTTGCCACTGCCTTTCTCTCCTCCACCAAATTTTGCTAGTCTTTTGTCTCATTCTCAACTTCTCATCCATTCCAAATCATTAATCGCTCACCAATGAATTTCAAGGCTTTCACAACTGATAGTAAGTCTTTATTCTTTTTTTTTTTTTTGCTCTTTTTTGTCTCATTGACAAAATTATCTATTTCCTAAATTGCCATTTAAAAAATATATTGTTTGACTTATGAGCGTTGTGTACATCTACATATCTTATTTTTGTTTGTTGGACATGTCTTTGTGTGTGATTTATTTTTTTATTTGTTTATTTTTATTTATTTAATTATTTTTTGTTAGTAAGCATAGGCCACGTTGTTGCTGAATTGATTCCAAGAAATAAATCTTTAATATATAATTTTATGCTTTAATATTTCTACAGTGAATGTAGATAAGTTATCTACATTCGCTCCAAAAACGACGTCGTTTGGGTTGAAAAATTAAAAAATTATAATTAAAAAAACTTTTATAATCCTGAAATAAATTATAATTACAAAAATACATTAATTTCCGCCTCAAAACGACATCGTTTCGGGCTCAATGTAGATAAGTTATCTGCATTGACTGTAAAAAAAATGAACCCATATTTTATTATTGTAAATGCACCTTCCCTTTTAATTTTTTCATTTCCTTTTGTTCTTTTTAAAATGATCGTTTCCATGAATATTTTTTGTTTTTTAAGTTATTAGATCTTAATAATATTTTTAAAATCACACTGGTCATGTAATAATGGGCCTATAATAAATAATTCAAGCCCATTAGTATTTTAGAATTAGTATATATAGAAGTTTAGGGTGATGTTTCTGTTATGCATGTATTCAATTCTGGTTTAGTGGAGAAATTGAGAGACTTCTAGGGAACTCTTGAGCCTAGGTATTTGGTTGAAGGGGGAGTTGAGGTTTCTTGGAGTTTATTTTCTGCATATTAGTGTATGTAAAAAAGGCATGACCTCCATTATCTCTGTAATTTCAATGTTATTTTTCTGGTTCCATCAATTTGGTATCAGAGCATCCATCATGTGGAGTTGTGCGTGGGGGCACGCACTAGGGAAGCGTGGTGGAATGTTGGGGTTCCATTTGCAAGGTATGGGACTTGGGGTCCCACATTGGTTGTATGGGCAACTAATGTGAGGTTTATAAGGCTTTGGGCACTCCCACCCTTTGAGCTAGCTTTTGGGGTGATGCATCCCAAGGTCTCATCATGTAATATATCATGCTCTTTGTAGGTGATTGTTATAGGAAAGAGTGCTACCATTGATGCTTATTTTAAGAGAAAGAATATTGAGTTTTTATCCCCGTCTACTCCTAATGTTGAATTGTCAAATATTGAAGCTATTCCTTACTTCAAAAATTAAGAGAGACAAGTTGGGATGCTTTCATGGTTCATGTTTAGGAATTTTGCATAAATTGACATTCCAGATATGATTGCAAAATATATTGGAAGAAGAAATCGTCCTCGAAATCAACAAGCTGATTTTTCAATTGAAAAATTTTACAGGATAAATATCTTTTATGCTACAATTGATTATCAATAGCAAGAATTAAATAGTAAGATTCAATAATAATACTGTTGAATTACTTGCTTTGAGTATGGCTTTAGATCCAAGAAATAGGTACAAGTCATTTAATAGTGATGATGTTTGCAAACTTGTTGACAAATTTTATTCTAAAAATTTCACAAAACAGGAGAAATTGCTTTTGAAGATGGAGTTACAATATTTTGAGCTTGAAATTCCTAAACATCCAGATTTGATTAATCTAGCAACTACATCTGAATTATGTCAAGGGCTAGCAAGAACTGGAAAGTCCATCATTTACCCTCTTATTGATAGAGAGATTAGATTTGTACTCACTCTTCTAGTTTCTACAGCAACTACTGAAAGAGCTTTCTCAGCTACGAAGATAATCAAGAACAGACTTCGAAATAGAATGGAAGACTAATTTCTTGATATATTTTTATTACATCCATTGAAAAATAAATTGTTGAGTTTTAACACGGATTCAATTATGAAGAGTTTAATGATATGAAAACACGTAGAGTAAGAGTTAACTGAAGTGATCTTAACTTCTATAATAAATTTCTTTCAAATTTTTTTATATTATATTGTAAGTACTTTTAATTATAATAATAATATTTTTTATTTTTGCCCCCTGTCATGAAAATTCATGGGTCCAGCACTGATTTTATTGTTAAGGCAAAACAACACACATCGTGAATCATATAGAATTACATATATCCCGCATGTGATAAATAACATTAAAAGTCATGTAAGCAGGCACCTGCGTCTCGCGTTAAAATGATGGAAGTAACATATTAGGTGTAAAATAAGATAAGATAAACATACTTTGTGAAACTTTATAAAAGTAACCAGACTTGTAGTCTAAATAAAACTAAAATAATACTGACCTCTGGACAACTTAAGGTAACCATCACTCTCAAGTCCACGCAATCTTCTAAATGGCAAAGACTCCGTGCCTAAAAAGAACTAGTTAGGCTAAAGGAGCATAAGAATAACAATCAAATTGGTAAAACTCTGCCAAATATCCCCCTATCATAAATCCCATATTTGGTTTCACCTTGTTACAGAAGTAAGTTAGAAAATCATTCATGTGCCTTCCACTAAAAGCTTAAGCTAGGTTCCTAACATAGTATTTGAGAGTTTGTGAGCAAGTGGTATTGAGTTCGATACCCGTTCTTCTAATAAAATGTTGAATTTTGGCACAAGGAAAGTATGTTTTCACTCGTCAACGTTTTGAGTCCAAAGAACTCTTATATCAAGGGGTGTGTTAAAATAATGATATAGAGAGTCATTCATGTGCTTTCACTTAGCAGCTTAAGCTTTCAAGATAATTTTTTCTTGACAAGCCTATTGTCATTAAAAATTAAGACAGGAAACATTCTTCCAAACAAGTTTTGTTGTTTCTTTATTTTAAAAACGGACACCAGTTCTTGAAAATAAAAACCAAACAGCCCCTTAAACACTATTAAGCCACAATACTAAGAGAAAGAGTACAACTTTATACCATATGATTCTTCCAATTTTCGTATGAATGCCAATTGCGAGAGAGCACCTGTAATTCCAGAACAGAAAAGAATCCATTAGATAATTATAAAATGAAAAACTTTGTTGGTATTGATTCTTGTTAATAATTTAACAGTAATAACCATTTTATTACTGACATAATTCTTTTCCAGTAGTGCAATAAGCCAACACAGGAATATAGAAGAAATAAATCCACCAATTTGCAAAAAAATAATTCAAAAACAGGAATTATCTCTAAATTGCACGCAACATAGTCTATAGATTTTTCAAAAAGGGGTGGGAGGGGAGTTGCCAACACCTAAAAATAAATGAACACATAATCACCCACAATAAGGAATTGCAAATATCTCTGCAGATATATCACAAAATCTCTTCTTCTTTAATCATTTTTTTTCTAGACATAATTGTGAAACGTGGATCACCTTTGGCATTCCACAGCTTTCAAAACACAAGAGCATCTATGAGCTAGTTCTGTGGTAACTGCAGCATTAAACTAAAAGCCAAGAGCACTTTTTCTTCATGAACTTGTAATACCAAATACAAGTATTCAAAGTAGTGCAGTTACTGTTGAGGAGGACAACAGAGGCATTTCTTTCAACTTTAATTAGCTCATTCGGTTTTGTTGGCATAGAATGTAAAATAAGGCTAGTTATGTAATTTAAAGAAGAAGATGAAATGCACGCACGGAGATCATGGCTCCATTATAATAAGTTGGTAACGTAATATGAAATCGATAAAGCATCTAAAATGAAAATTACCTATAATCATTCCGATGGTGACAAATGTGAGAAGTCCGAAAAGGATCCTCATAGCAGGCGCCATGGAAACGGAGAGAAGATGAAGATGAAGATCAAAGAGGGTATAAATGTCAAATTGAAAACTCACTCACTCACTCTCACACGCAAACGCTGCTAAATTTTGTGCGTCCACAAACCGCTCTCTCACTCTGACTCTGACGCCCATAGCTTGCTTTTTGCTTTCCAGTTTCATGCCACAAGGTGAAACCTTCTCACCCGCTTCATGCCACTGCACACGCTTCTTCTCATATTTAAAAATATAAAAAATGGAAACAAACAAAACTTTGTTCGTATGCAAAAGCAAAACCAATTAATTATAACCAATTAGTCGTACCCCTATACATAAATGTAAAGGAAATATCCCCTGAACATAAAACCCTATACAAAAGTTTTGCTCAGCTATAGCCGTCAAGAACAATAATAAAAAACCTGAGTATGATTTGTACCCAACTCGTAGGCGGCTAGGATTTGCATAAATTGTTGGAATCATTCCTTGAATCAGTGAGGTTCTGGTGAGTTTCTTTGGCCAATTTGCGAGACGACGCGATACTCCTGAGTATGCGTTCTCTACGGGAAAATCTATCCAGGCTGATTCAGAGGCGCTACTGAAGCCATGTTCTCTGCAACTCATACACAGAAATACCACGATTTAGCGAGTTACGTTACACCGAGGTTGATATGAGACACGAGATACATACTATATGACATTAATTCTAAAAAAATATTAGAAATGTTAAGACATATTTTAATGTTAAATAATATTTTTGATTTACGTAAGTTACTTGCAGATAAGTTATATGCAATTATGCATTAAGTCTATGTGAGGTATCAGACCTTTGTGCTTAAAGAAAAGAATCACACACAGTGTGAAGAGGAAAACGAAAAGAAGAAGAAAGCTATCTGAATTGATACTGTATATTGATATATTAAAGAGGGATACAAGAGCTGCTATATATATAGCATTTGGGAAAAGAGGGAAAAGCTAAACAACTAAAAATAACAGAAATAACTGTCATTATCTATCATCCCCCCTCAAACTCAGTGGCAGAGGGCTGACTCTGAGTTTGTTCCTGAACGAGAGAAAAGTGGCAGCAGAGATGGGCTTGGTGAGAAGGTCAGCAATTTGTTCTGTTCCAGGAATGTGTTGCACAAAGACCTGCTTTTGAATGACCTTATCTCGTACAAAATAAAGATCCAGTTCGAAGTGTTTAGTACGACTATGCAGAACTGGATTTTGTGCTAACATAACAGCACTAGCATTATCACAGAAAACCGTGGGAAGGACAGTACATGGAATTCGAAGTTCAGAGAGAAGAGATTGCAACCAAGTTATTTCAGTTAAAGTGGATGCCAAGCTACGAAACTCAGCTTCTGTGCTGGATCGTGACACTGCATGCTGCTTTTTACTTGACCAGGAGATAAGGTTGGAACCAAGATATACACAGAAACCACTGGTGGATTTGCGATCATCTACATCTGACCCCCAATCAGAATCACAAAAAGCAATTAACCGAGTATCCTTGGACTGATGAAAGAGAAGGCCATGGGTTAAAGTTCCAGCAAGGTACCTAAGAATCCTCTTGACAGCCTTCCAGTGAACTTCAAGAGGTTTATGCATGAATTGGCTCACTTTGTTGATAGCATATGAAAGATCTGGTCGAGTGATAGTGGCATATTGTAATCCACCAACAATAGACCTGTACAAAGTGGGATCTGCGAAGGCAGTGTCACCTTCCAAAGACAATTTTTGACCTGTGAGCATTGGAGTGGGCATGGGTTTGGCAGAAGTCATTTTTGCTTTTGCAAGAAGATCAGTAATATATTTAGTTTGGCTAAGGTGAATGGTTGTGGGAGAGGTGTAGACAGCTTCTAACCCAAGAAAGTAATGAAGACGTCCTAGGTCTTTGAGGGAAAATATGTTGTTAAGTTGAGATATAAGAGAGGAGATAGCAGTTGAGTCGTTACCAGTGATCAATATATCATCAACATATACAAGGATATAGGTTGTGGTGGTGGAAGTAAAACGGGTGAACAATGATGGATCAGATCTGGTACTGTTGAAACCAAACTGGTGTAATGTTAGGTTGAGGGTATTGAACCAAGCACGAGGTGCTTGTTTGAGTCCATAGAGGGCCTTATTTAGCTTGCAGACAAGATGAGGATTAGGACTAGGGATTCCATCAGGTTGCTGCATGAAGACATCTTCCTGTAAGGTACCACAAAGGAAGGCATTGTTGAAATCAAATTGTCTTATGATCCAGCCATTTGTGAGGGCAATGGAGAGTATGAGTCGAATGGTAGATGGCTTAATAACAGGGCTAAAAACTTCACTGAAGTCGAAGCCTTCTCTTTATTGAAAACCTTTAGCCACGAGGCGAGCTTTGTATTTTTGAATTGTGCCATTTGGTTGTCTCTTGATACGAAAGATCCACTTGCAGCCAATGGGTTTGATGTTAGGCGGAGGATGAACAAGGGTCCAGGTACCATTCTTGATGAGAGCCTGAATCTCCTTAGCCATAGCATGCTTCCAGTGAGGGCAGTGTAAAGCTTGAGACACAGTTGTAGGTTCGGAATTCTGAAGGTATAATGAAGAGTCAAGAAGTGCAGTGGCATATGTCTTGGGTTTATGAATGCCGGACTTGCTGCGGGTTTGCATAGGATGTGAATTGAGAGGAGAAGAACTTTGACTAGAGAGGGAAGTAGAGCTGTCAACTGCTGTAGTGGTGGGAATGGGATGGGAAAACTGAGATGCGGAACCTGAAGGAGAACAATTAACCAAAACATCAGTAGCATCTGATAAGATAACAGGTGATGAGGATGGGCAGGATGTAATGGGAACAGCAGGTAAATTCGAAGATGAAGTATGCTTAGAGATGCAAGGGATTGTAGGAATAGAATGATGAGGAGATGTACGAGGTGTAATGGTAGTGGTGTTAGAAAACAAAACTGAATAGGGAAAATCAATTTCATCAAAAATAACATCTCGAGAGATATAAATCCGTCCTGTGGGAGAGAGACATTTGTAACCTTTTTGATTGATGGCATATCCTAAGAACAGACATTTGTGAGATCTAAAATCAAGTTTATGTTTGGTGTAAGGTCTAAGTAAAGGAAAGCATGCACAGCCAAACACTTTCATAAACTTGTAATCAGGTTTGTTGTGCTGAATTAGTTCAAAAGGTGATTTTAGATGTGTAACAGGAGATGGCAATCGATTTATGATATATGTAGCAGTGGAAAAAGCATCCTCCCAAAAAGATAGAGGGTGTTTGGCATTAGCCAAGAGAGCTAGACCAACTTCAGTGATATGTCTATGCTTTCTCTCGACTCTACCATTATGTTGATGAGAGTAAGGACAAGTAAGCCTATGAGTGATGCCATGAGTGAGCAGAAAATGAAGAAAGCTATTAGATAAGTATTCCTTACCATTATCAGTTTGAATTGATTTAATTTTTAAACCAGTGAGGTTTTCAATCATAGATTTGTATTGCAAAAAAGCTTGAAAAACTTGAGATTTATTCTGCAAGAGATAAATGCAACTATATCTAGTAAAAGCATCTACAAACAAAACATAAAATCTGCATCCAAAGGTGCCAGGCATTGGGGCTGGTCCCCATACATCAGAAAAAATGAGATCAAGAGGAGCAGCATAAGTGGTGGTAGAGGGAAAATGTGGTAACTGATGAATTTTGCCCATACAGCAGGCTTCACAAACAGAATGAGTTATGGCAGTTTTATTGTCAAGAATAGGAAAATTACATTGTTGTAGTACAGAAGTAACTATTTTGGAGCTAGCATGGCCTAATCGTTTGTGCCATAGATCAAAAGAAACATGTTTAGAATACAAAGCAATGGGGGGTGAAGAAACAGATGGGCTGTTGTTAACTAATACATTTGAAAATTGATAGAGACCATCTTTAAGCTTGCCTTTGAGGACAATGGCCTTAGTTACCTGAGATTTTACAAGACAATAATCAGGAAAAAATTCAAAGTAAACCTTGTTATCTCTAGCAAATTGAGATACACTAATCAAATTTTTGGTTATGGAGGGTACATGAAGAAGATTATCAAGTTTAAAAAGAAATGGAGATGCAGGTGAGGTTAAAACAGAATTGCCAACATGATGGATATGCATACATGTACCATTTCCAATTTGAACTTGCTCAGAGCCATTATACTCAGAGCTGGAAGAAAAATTACCAAGATCATGAGTTAAGTGATGAGTGGTACCAGAATCCGGATACCAAGAGCTGTCAGTGAGTGAGGCTGGTCCTGCCATATAAGCTTTGGGGTTGTGGAATGAAGAAGGTGGAGGTGGAGGTTGTTGGGGATTCTGAGCATTCTGTGATGGTGGTTGATAGTTTGAGTCATACCTGTAGAAACATTTAAGGGCAGGATGTCCAAGCCTGCCACAGATTTGGCATTGTAAGCGATTCTGATTCCAAGAATTCCAAGATAAACCTTGTGATCTACCACCTCTGAACCCGCGACCACCTCTGCCTCTCCTTCCACCAAAGGATCTGCCTTCATTGCTATTGAACTTGTTTTCAGTGTTATTGAACATGTTTTCATTGTTGTTGAATCTGTTTCCCTGCTGTACAGTAGCTTGTGACATTGGCCTGAACAGGAACTGGATCATTCTTCTTGAACTTTTCAAGTATATCTTCTTGAGCAAGAATAAAAGCTTCCAATTCAATTATGGAAAAGGGTGGGAATCTTGACATTGCAGAGGTGATTAATGGAGTGTATTCTTCACTCAAGCCATCAAGAATGGCTTCTGAATATTCTGCAGCAGTTAATGGGGAGCCAACAGCACCCAAAGAATCAATAATCTTCTTGATTTGAAGAAGGTAATCGGATGCTGGTCCCTTTTTCTTGATGGTTTTCAACTGGTTTTCCAATTGCTTAACTTTTGCCTGAGTATGTGAAGCAAAGTACACTTGTAGCCTTGTCCAAATTTCATGAGCAAACTTGCATCCTACCATTCTGTTTTTGAAGGATATGTTCATGGAGGAGAGTAGCCATGACACAAGAAGGTGATCTTGCTGATGCCATGTTGCATAATCTTCTGATTCTTTTTCACGATCTTTATCTTCTTGGGTAGAGAAACGGGCAGGGATCTTTTCTTCACTGAGATGATCCTGCAGGTTGTGGCCATGGATGGAAGCAAGAGCCAATTGCTCCCAAGGAAGAAAGCTATCTTCATCGAGTTTGTCTGCAATTGGGTATGAGAAAGATTTCATGATAAGCTTCACGGGTTTTGTATTTTCGGAGCTTGTGGATGATCTTGGTGATGATTGAGGAGATGCCATGGATCGATGCTGGGCTCTGATACCATGTGAGGTATCAGACCTTTGTGCTTAAAGAAAAGAATCACACACAGTGTGAAGAGGAAAACGAAAAGAAGAAGAAAGCTATCTCAATTGATACTGTATATTGATATATTAAAGAGGGATACAAGAGCTGCTATATATATAGCATTTGGAAAAAGAGGGAAAAGCTAAACAACTAAAAATAACATAAATAACTGTCATTATCTATCAGTCTAATACAATATTATTTTGGACGAAAATTATGGTATTTTTGTAATTTTAATTTATTTCAGGGTTACTATAGTCTTTATGATTATAATTTTCTAATTTTTCAATCTTAAAACGACGTTTTTTTTGAAATAAATGCAGATAAATTATCTGCATTAACTACAGAAATATTTGTCTGTATATTTTATATTCAATAATTTAACAAAAAAATGAAATTAAATTACTAGCATTCATGGTGGATATGGTAGTTGTTGGAGATTAACGCCATAACGGTCAAGGTTCAAATGCTGGTAGAGTCCGGAAAAAAAAAATGAATCTAAACTTATAATACTCATTAATTTTGCAAAGAAACATAA